TTTCAATTCAATTCAAATTTTATTTGGTTATACAGCGCCAAATTCTCTTATAACAGCCAAATCTCCAGGACACTTTCAAATAGAGCAGGTCTAGACCGAACTCCTTTTAACATTACAGAGACCCAACATACCACCACTGAGCAAGCCTTGCGACGGCGGGCAAGGAAAACTCGTTACAAAGCAGAAATTAGCACAGACCCTTCAGCTCTAGTGGGTGTCATCTGCTTGACCAGTGGGGTGAGAGAAGAGAGCAAGACAGAGAGAGAGACAGACCAGACAACACCAGGCGCAACAACTAACATACAATAATGAACATGAAAATGATGACGATGACGACACGCAGCAAGCGATGCGGGAAACAAGTGAGAGCGGACAAAGGCACACACAACCACGTAACTGCAGCAACAAAAACATTAAAATAACTAATAGTAAAACGACAATAAATATCATTGAATTAGCAATGGCAGTCAAGCAGGAAGGCGGGAGGCTCCCACCAGGATCCATGAGAACCTGCGCAGATCGAAACACAAGAACTCCGGGAAGAGTAAGTTATAACCATGCATCTAATGGGAACATGGAATGGCATACGAAAAGAGAGAGGAGAAAAGGGAGCTCAGTGCACCATGGGAAAATCACCCAGTATGCAATGGTTACGGATCATCAGCCCTAACCTAATAACTTATCAAAGAGGCAACGCTTAATCCTACTGTTAAATTGGAGAGTGTGTCTGCCTTCCAGAACCAACAACTGGAAGCTGGTTCCACAGGAGAGGAGCTTGGAACAAAGCTCTGGCTCCCTGCACTACTTTTAGAGACCTATAGGACCATTCATTTGACAAGAGGTGTTATTACAGTGATTTCTTTAGTGTGCATATGGCAGACTGTGACTGCTTGTTTAGACAAACTTGAAAAAAGTAGCAGTGCAAGAAGATATAATAGCACCCAGTCTTCATAACTGAATAACCTGTCCAGTAATCTTAATCAACTTGTACAGTGTGATGTAGAAACTTGAAGCCACCAGTGCACATCCACTGAGAATGGACTTTACAGTGAAGTAGGAGACATCTTGTGTCCAGCAGGAAAACTTTAGAAATAAACAAAACATTCATATTCAAATATTCTGGAGTTTTTAATGAGGTAGAAGGAGTACATGCCCCAGAAATGGAAAATACTTTCTACAATAGCCCAGAAGAAACAAACCAAACACTGGCTCTAGATAGGGGCGTTTACATGTAATGAACAAGGTGGCATATAGCGGCTACAGTGGCTTCCAAATTTGCGGAAAGTGTGAAAGGCCCTATCTAGAGCCAGTGTTGGATTTCTCCGGTCTACACTACCATAGAAACATGACAGCTCAACAAGGAAGGCGAGCCGCTCCCTCTGTAGACAAAAACATCTAATTTTAAATTAAAGAAAACACAACTATTCTTATAATATATTATGAATATTATATTGCATTTCTGTCAAGAGATCCTGCTAAATGTTACACACTGGACCTTTAAGGGTTTTAATGTGGAAATTATACTTCCACATTGCATATCCAAAGCATACCAGATACACATTATTGTTCCAACAGACTGTATATATGTATTATGTCTGGAAGGAATCTTTAATGATGACAAATTGCTTGCACACACTGATGGTTTAAATTGCACAGTGAACACAGTACACAACAGGAAAAGAGAAGGTACAAAGGTCATCAGTAAAATATATTTAAAGTACCAAAAATAAAATGACCTGTCCAGGTGTTGTTATGATAAACACGCTGTGCTTAGTGACAGCAGCTTCTGTTCAAAATGCATCATAGAAGCAGAGATAAAACCACTTGTTGAGAGATGATGCAGTTGTTCAAGAGGTGAGAGGCACGCTCCACTGGTTCCTCAACAGAGAAGCTAAAATTAGAAAACCTGCTCTGACACCTGCTCGGAGGAATTAAATGCTGGTATTTAATATTTTTGGGCAGCAGCAGCATTTAATAAAAATCCACAATTCAAATGTTTACTTCCACATACTGAGGACCCATTTCAGACTAATTTTTCCTTATTTGTAATGAAATCCTTTTCAATTTCTGTGTTCACAGATGACGATCAAGGGTCTGAGACTGATTATGTAAGTTGGGAAAATTGTGAGTTGTAAGCTATTTAAACTACGGATATTTGTTTGAAACATTACAAGTATGTTGTTCCCAGGATAATGATCAATACGATGATCCACGTGAGGACCAAGATGACAGCTACGAGCCTCCTCCCAGCCACAAAGTCTTCACCACAACTCCCTCTGCTTCCTTCCAAAGAGGGGAGTATGTCGGTCGGTACAGTCACTTGACAAAAACAACTATTTATATCCGTGCTTTAAACATATTATATTTCACAATAAATGCCTGAGTGTTGACTTTTATGGCAACATAATTAGCTACCCTCATGATGAAATTCAAAATTCACATGAGCTTTGATTCATTTTCACACACAGTTTCTATATCTCTAGTCACTTCTCCTTTGCAGTCATCTCTCTCTTTCTGTTGAAGATGCATTTGATTCATTTAGACCCCTCAGTAGACGCTGTTGAGCCATGGCCACAATACGCAGATGGCTTCAGAATGATGCTTCATGCAAATGCATATGTCCTCTTTCTGTTTCTGCTTCTCCTTTCCAGACAGCTGCCATAACCGACCCCAGCGGCCACCCAGGAAGCCCCTCCGCCCAAGCAAACCCTCCAAACAACTGCCCCCTGAACCCACCCACACAGGGAGTGATGAAGTAAAGCAACTTTGTTTCCCCACCTTGAGCTCACACACATACTGTGCTGCAGGCCTGAGACTTCCACAAACATTACTGTGTTAATTTCGCCATGTCCTCTGTGTTGGTAAATACCTTCAGTTGAGTGTGGATGGCTGACACAATATGTTGTCTTTGTTTTTGTTTAGGAGGACTACATCACTCCAGACAGTAACGATGATGATAACTACGTAGAACCCGCAGAGAACCCATCTTCCGGTAAGATACACAACAAACGTGTCTCGTATCTCCAAGCACAGTTATAAACCAAAGTATTGGGCAAATTGAAATGAAAAGTAAAGACATTATTAAATGTCATCCTAAGGACGACAAATAAAGGGAAGAATGATGTCAGTACAAACTTTTGTGCTGATCCAACAAGTAGATCTTGAGGAATTTCACTGGATAAGTGAACATTTTTGGTATTTATCCTTTAGGGACCACAAATGTTACGTAATTTCATGACAATTCGCCCATCCAATCTGGACCAAAGTGGTTGACTAACTAATAACCATTCTTAGAGCCACGCTGCTAGCATGGCTTAACACAGGAAAAGGAGGCCTCCATTCTGTCTATTATATTATTGAATGAACAGCTCATAGGATAATGCATGTGACGTCTTTGTTGGTACAATACAATGAGAGAAAAGCAGTTAGTCCAAACACAGAAAAATGCCCAAGGGCAAGTACTCTTGTCACGAAAACAATGCGATCCAGCACCAGAATGAGGCTTTTGTGGTTCAACTATGTGCTTAATTTTGGCTTTGATTATTTTTCAGACCTTTATGAAATTCCTGACAAAGAGGTAGGCTCTCTATGTAACAGCAATTACATGTATTGTTTATACATTACATTTATATGTGGAATTCATTGCGGTTCCTTTTTATGGCCTCTTTACAGGAGCAGTCATTATCTCTTCCAGCACGCAGGTCAGTGTGAGACTGTATCGACTTGGTTCACTCATGTAATTGTATGAATATAAAATATTTTAGAAATCATTTTGACTACAGTCCGAGACTGACTTACTCCTTGCATCTACCTTGCAGACCATTTCCAATCCCCACAAAGCAGTCGCATTCTTTACCACCGAAACCCAGCCCCAGGTAGCACTGACATGTCATTCAGAGGCCTGAGAGATGTGTCATTACTGAAACTTAATTAAATGCAACTCTGTTATGACATTATTACATTGTTTATATTACATACTTTCATATTACTTCACTAATAATGACTTATTTTTCTTCCTCAGAATAAATATAAGGAGATCTCCTACTACTGTAAGTGATGACAGATGTGTATGATGTAATTTAAATGTAGTGTTTTGCAGAGATTTAATGTATGCTGCACATGAGGACACTGACATATTGGTATTGTGATTTTCCAGGTTCCGGAGCCCACAGGCAACGATGAATATGAAGTTTGTGATCCAGATGATAGTGAGTATTAAATCAAACAATAAGTATTTTTATTAAGAAAGCTACCATGAATCATTCTAGCATGTTGCACCATCTAGAGGATGACCAGGGGTAAGAGGAAAAATGGATTTCCCTACAGTAAATGAACAATAGAAACCTATGACTGTTTATTAAAGCTGACAACAGTTATAATACCGAACAGATCACTTATCACTGCATTGTGTGCTCCTCTAGGTTCCCATGATAAACCTGTAGAGGGTCCTCCCCTACGCCTACCCAAACCTTTGCCCAGAGAGTAAGCACCACTTACCTAATTATATATACTGTAAGCTGTTTAAGCTTTTAAAAGGGAATAACGGATTGTCTGATCATCTCTTTTTTTCTTTCTTAGGAGGTCACCGAAACCACCTGTAAAGCCGGTAAGAAAATCACAGTTCGAAATAACACATTCAATCATCATGGTTTAACTGTGTTACTGTGTTTTAATGTGATCAGCTGATGTCTGTAAAAATTAAAAGTGTATTTGGTTATATATGCTATAAATCATTAAATATGACTCTTTTGCAGAGGCCGGATTTAAAACCTAGGGAATTTGAAAGTAAGTGCTTACATTAATTCAGATTCTACCATATGTACACATTATTAGTCACACCAGATTGAGAAATCAGTTTTATGAGTGACGTTTTTCCCTGAAACACAGTAAAAACCTGTAATGAAATGTAGCCTGTGCATGTTTCATTTACTCACTGGGTTTAAATTAATTCTACATGTGATGGCAACAATGTGCACATTTTAGTGACTTATTACCAGTGATCAGCAAAGTCAATCTTATCTTAATGACATACATACAAATGCTGGCCATACATAAGAGTGTTTATGGATGTACACTGATCATGATAATTAAATGTAAGTAAATGGGAATGTAGCAGATTAAAGATGTACAGTATAAAACGATTTACATGGTCAATTTGACTACTTATTACTAAAAAGCTTGAATTACCATCCGTCTGGATCTCCACAGGCCGAACGCTGCCTGTGATACAAACTGAGCAGAAGCCTCTACCAAAAGCTTTTACGCTGGACTTGAAACGGCCAAAGTAAGAAATGCAACATGCAGTTTTACACTATGCATTATATTTATACCAAGCACACGCATTTTTAACGCTTCTCAACTGAGGAAAATTGCCTTTAATCGCAGCTTTGTGCTGTGTATTTACTGTGGTTGGCTCTGTTTGTGGTCTGTCTTGCAGAATTCCTCTCCCACAGTTTACCTCCCTCAGTAAGTACAACCCCTGCTTGTGTCTCAGAGCAGGTTAACACCCATAGGCACACATATTTTGTGCTTTAAAAACTCAAATTCAAAAGCATTATCCCACATTATCAAACAAAACTAAATTATTATAATGTGTGTGTCTTTTGTCCCAGAAGCAGGAGACAGAGGAAGCGTTTCTTCTGAAAATGGGTCAACAGACCAAGATAAGGTGAAAATTAATATGAAATGAAGGACTTAACTATATTCATACAGTATATGCAGAGTGATGGTTTAAAATACTTTTAACTATTCTACATTTACTTATTATTTCAGGACGCAGATGTCTATAAGAAACCATGGTATGCCAGTGCATGTGACCGCAAGACTGCTGATGATGTCTTGATTCGCTCAAATAAAGTGAGAGCACAGTCATCCAAACGAGCAGCATGTGGATTATATCCCATAACCCCCTGCTGGGTTTGACTGTGAGTGCTTTGTGTTTTCAGGATGGGGCGTTTATGGTGAGGCAGAGCTCCGGTCAGGACACGCAGCAGCCCTACACGTTAGTGGTGTTCTACAACGGCAGAGTGTACAACATCCCAATTCGCTATATACCAACAACACAGCAGTACGCTCTGGGCAGAGAGAAGAAAGGAGAGGAGGTACAGTGGAAGACTCAAAGTGTTTGACTGTCACTGTGGCCTACAAAAAACACTTTTCAATTTTATTTTGTTCAGAAATGTAAGATAAGATTTTATTGATCCCACACTGGGGAAATTCACTTGTTACAGCAGTTCCAGCTACAACACAGCAGATAAGAAAAACAAAAGACACATAAAATAGCAAAGTAAAATAGAAATAATCAAGATACAAAGAAAATTAGGGTTGTATTATATGTCATGGAACACTGATTGTAGTAATACTGAAGACTGAGAAGGAAATTATTCATTATTCAAACTTAATATACAAAAAACTATTCTCCAATTGAATTGCTACTAACCAGGTTGGCTGAAACAGAAAGTGCAATGCTCTGTTTGACTTATTAATCATTAATAATCATCTCAACTCAATTTTTGGAATATGTTGCATCCTGTTTGTGCAAGATTAGTAAAATGTTCAGCTCGTGAACCTAATTTGGTGATATTGAGGATATTTCGACTTTTCATTCTAACTTCTAGTTTAACTCATCATCCTTGTTCTTTCCCAGTATTTCAGCAGCGTCTCCCACATCATCGAGAACCATCAGAGGAATCCACTGGTGCTGATTGACAGCCAGAGCAACACCAAGGACGCCACCAAACTGTGCTACCCCGTTAAGCCGTAGATGACCCTCGCTGATGGCAAACAGCCAAGTGATTGGATGTGTGCATCCAAACCCACCGTGTTTACTGTCAGACTGCCGTTTACAGAACTCATTATCTGATGCTTTCCTCCTCCCTCATTGTTAATTTGAGGTCCTGTCAACAGGATCGTGTGCTGCACTTTTCTGCATTGCTGGCCATGCAGAGTTTAAGTAGCACTGACTCAGATGACTTTTTAACTCGTTTTATTAAAATGTTGTTGTTTTTTTAAATGCTTAGACAGTGTATTAAAATAAATGCAAAGGACGAGACAGTGTTACTGTAGCTATAGAAAGCACGTAAACAAATAATTTGTTGATGACAGCAATACATTGGGGAGCCAAAAATACAAGGTTGTATATTTTGTTTTAATAAAAGACTTCCTGTGTTGCATACATCTTTAGTCATCAAACAATGCCACCAGGAACGGACGAACTGGTTCGTTTATTTTGTGGTCAACAAGTAATGCTATCATACTCATGCACATTTGCTTTGTTTGGCATAACAAAAATTCCTTAGGCCAACTTGGTTGAAAAAGTTCTTCAGGTCATATTTTTTACATACCTCTATTCTGGACTATATACAAATTATACATCTCTTATCTAAATTGAAAAAGTATATATATATGTATATATATATATATATATACACACAGTTACTGACACTGAGGTGTGCGCTCACAGAAACAGAAATACATGCACAACATCAGCACACGGGACAGGTGCATTTCTGTTCCAATGGTCATGACACACACACACACAGAGGAGCCACAGTTCCCTTGCTGAGAATACTGAGGGACCATGGCTGCATAAGGAAATGTTTAGCCACAGGAGGACACTGGTTGAGATTGTCAAAGGCTTAGGCCTGATAAGGTGAGGTAACAGGAAATATAAATCCTCCTTTCATAGTGCAATTAAAAGATTATCATTTCAAGTCAAAAGAGAGGAAACTCATTGGGAAAAAAATACATGACCATATCATCTAGGCCTCTTCAATCTAAATTTAAAAAGAAGTCATTTTGCTAGTATTTCATCGACGCCACAAAACACAGGCTTGACTATTTTAAATCAATCGTGTCTTTAGGGAAATCTGCTTCCACTGAGTGAAAGCATAAAAATATACCTCTTACAGATAATACTATATTTGAACATCATTTGGAGTTTATTATACAAAAAAAAATGATAAATGCACCGATTCTTCCAATGACCCAAAGAAGCATAAAGAAAAGCATATAAAGGCTAAACCTAAAAGTCATAAATAAATGTTGAATAAAACAGCTTATTGTCTCTTTTTTTTTTTTTTTAAACACACAGTTTTGGTATATCTGAGTAACTTGTGGGTCTCTGCGTCCCATTCCAGAAACATAAATATGATAGCTACCACGCTGTATAGCCTACCCGTACATAATTGATTCATAAAATTCAGGTGTTATGGCAAATATACATATTACAGTGTTCTATAAAAAGATTCCATACGACAGTGTACTTAAATCACCTTAAATAAAGCTATTGCGTAGACAAAGTACAAACAATACAAAGAACTAAATGATCCAGACCACGTCCTTGTGGCAAATAACCTACATAAGAGTTTGTAGCTAGTCAAACTGGGAGAGAGACAACAGGTAAATGTTTAAATTACCCTGAGAATGTAAACCCTCCAGGAAGCGAGATAATCATGTGATTCTCCTCAAAAACAACCAATCATAATTAAGACTTTTAAAAAAAATGAGGAGGCTGGCTATCAGCGTTTCCATTATTGTTTTGTTGTATTGCAAAGTCATCTTTTTCCAGGCTGTTTATCATCCAGTGTGTGCGACATTTAAGAGTTTTCACAGTTTGGCCTTTTCCACTCCATCAGATGTCGCTGCCGATGGACCATCCACGTTTCTTGACTTGCAAAGACCCTGCCGCAAAACCAGCAGCGGAACTTGGTCGCGGCGGCATCCCTGCTGGGAGAGGCCACGCCGACCACTTCGTACTTTTTCCTGCTCAACCTACGAAGTTTCAATTTCAACATGAACCTCTCCTGTACAGAGTTTTTACCATGCCTGGCAGAATCGGGTCGGGCATCTGTCGGGTCATCCGTCTTAGGGAGCTTGCTGTTCATAGCTGAGAGCGCGTTCACGGTCCTCCATGACAGTACGACCTTCTGCACCTCCCCTCTGTATCTGTTCACGACCTCCATGATCCTGGCGACCTCGGGGATGTCCGCGTCTGGATGATTTAGCACCACAACGGGCTGGTCTCCCGCTGGACGCTTTACCAACTGAGATGGATTTATGGCTACTAACTTTAGGGTCCTCTCCCGGTTTTTTGGGACCAGCTGCCACTGGTGCCCAGAGGCTGGTGATGGCTCCTGTTGGATGGCTTTCCCTGCAGGCAGGTTGGTGTTGCTGAGAAGATCTGGGCAGGAGTCTGCAGGCACTTCTCTCATCCCCTCGACACTCTGCTCTAAAGAGAGGGCAAGGCTTACATCTTCAGAGTTTATCTCATCTGCAAGACAAAAGGTGAAAATGCTTGTTTCAAAACAGACAGGTTTGCAATTGGTTGTAAAATGTAAACTGAACAATAAAATGTAGGTCAAGAAAAAGCCACTGCATACTAAATGATTAACCATTATCGTCTATGCAGAAACTATAATTTGCCATCTTACCCTGTGGTGTAATAACACGTTGGGAAGCAGGGGAAGACTTGGTGTAACTGCTACGAGGAGTCACTCCATCAGAGGCTGTACTCATCTTATTGTCCAACACATAGTGGCCCCTGCCACTGCCTGATGTTTGGAGCCGTGCGCTCTCGGGGCACACCACCTCTACTTCAGTCACGGCTGCATCCCTCAAATTCGACTGGCCTGCCCTACCAGCTGAACCGCTCACATCAGCTTTGGTTTCCAGGAATTGCAGTGATTTCTCTACCTCGTCTTGCATTTCTTGATGCGTTGACAGCGAGCCTTCGAGCGTGACAGCCGAGTTTCCTTCTATATTCTTAGAACCCATTGGCTTTGCAGCACAACTGGGGGTTAGTTCTTCTCTTGGCTTCGATCGAAGAATTGAAGTGATGGCTTCAGAGGGGTCGTGCGGGTCGGGCTTGGAAGCTTTTGTCCATTTCTGCTGGTTCATTTCATTTTGAAGAATCAGCGCCGTCTCCTCCAATGTTGTACGAGGGATCGGCAGTCCATCATCCGTCGGACCTCCTCCTGATGGAGACACAGAGCTTTGTGACACCCACTGCTTCTCCTTCACTGGATTCTTCTTCAAAACTATCTTTAAGGCCAATCCTGCTGATATTTTATTCACTCTTTTAGATCTGGCCTTTCTTTTTCGTCTTCGATTGCGTCTCTTATTTTTTGGTACAACTTTATGAACGGATGTCGGCTCTTCACTATCATTTGTCAACTTCAGCTCACTGGAGAGTTTAACCCCATCCTCATGCATAGGCTCCTCATTTCTTTGACCATGTTCCTCGACTTTCTGATCAGTCTGTAATTCCTGATTTTCACGGTTTTCCTGCATTTGAGCGCACTCAGATGGCTCACTCTGGGCTGGCATCGAGACATCATTGGTGAGTTTGGTTTCAGTCTGTGGACAAGGCGTATGATCGTTCAAATTTGACTGACATCCATTTTGGTCAACTACACAATGAGCATCATCAGCAGCACTTTCAGGGGAAACTGTTTCCTTATCTGACGAGGTCATCATTTTCAACTTTTTGGGATAAGTAGCACCGTTCTGAGCCACCGTTATCTTGTTCTTGACCGTCAACACAGTAAGATCTGACGAGTTCGACATTATTCCATTCTCAGACTTCGGGTGAAGATTCATATCTTGAGGGACATTTGTCAAAACAGTTTTAAGAGCCTTGGTCCATTTCTGGTCACCGGTTTCCCCAGCAACAGATTTCATCAAAAACTGTTGAGTCTCCTCTAGTGTTGTCTGTGGATCTGACAGATGGCAGTATTTATCCAGGAATTCTCTCCCTGGCAGAGAAAGACAGTCCTGTGTCAGCCAGCACATTTCCCTAACTGCACTTCTTGTTAATCGAGGCTTAATTTTTGGGATTGGGTCGCTCGGTTTCATCGCTATGGAATGAACCTCCTTCTTTTTCTTCTTCCTCTGATTACCGTTCTGGCAAACATGGGCGGCTTTAATGTGCTTAGTAATCAATAATTTGTGAGATGCCTCGTAGCCACAGTGCTGACAACGCAAAGCTTGAGTGGTTGTTTTGGGCTCATCACTGGCTTCGTCCAGGCCCAGATTATGTGCATACATGTGCCCTAAAAATACTCTAATGTCGCCTGTGGAGAACTTTGGACACATTTCACATGAATATTTGCCATTTTGGCAGTGACACATAGTCAGGTGTGCACTGAATTCAGGCCATGTGCGTTGAACATTGTCATTACAAACGCTGCAACTAGAAAAAGTGTCTTTGTGGCTTAAAAGATGAACCTGAAGGTAGGAGAACTCATGTGTACTGAAAGTGCACATATGACAGGAAAAGACTGGTGGGCTCCCTCTGTGCTTTTCCTCAAAGTGTCTCACCAAGTCTCTGTGAACATATTCCAAGTTGTCCATACATTGAGAGCATGTGAACCTGAGTGTATTTCCGCTGTCATTTGTCCTCTGCTGTGCTTCCTGGGGGGGCTTCTTTGATGAAGGCCACACTGCGCTTTGCTCCCACTCCTCTGTTATCTTCTTTGGTCCACGCTTATCTTCACTTTGCATAGTTGGGGGCTGAACGGCAGTCTTCCTGAGGTGGAGCCGTTTGTGCCAATCTCTATTCTTCTTGTTGACACGCCGTTTATTACCTCCCGTAGAGGTAACTGCGCCAATATCCACAGAATCCATGGTTTAAAAAGGTTTCTGAAAGTGCAGGAAAGAGTCAATAAATAAATAAATAAATAAATAATACAGCTTCCAAACCCAAGAGTGCTTTCTGAAATGTATTTGCATTAGTTATGAAATCAAAAGAACCACTGTGTGCTGTGTGTTCAGACTGCTGGTTCATAATTTCACAGTAAACCCATAAAGAGAAGCTGCATTCAGCCCTGCTCTGCGTGTTATTTTAACAAAGTCCACCTGTTGCTGGCTGTGGTTCAGAATGCCTCTGCATGGATATTCATTCATCACACTCATCAGGTTCAAAACTTTAACTCTTATCAAGCATCAGCTGCAGGAAAATGCACTTAAAACTCACCTGCTCACACAATAGTTAGGAACTTCACCGCCTGCTTAAAACACAAGTCCGTGCGCTACGGTGGGAGGTGCAATTCAAAACCTGCCAAAACTAACAACTGCACCAATAAAAAAAAGACTACAGCAGCTTCAGGAATCTCTTCTTAGTGGCAGATTAATCGGTGAATCGTGCGGCCATTGTGCAGTTTGAGTTGAGACCACAACAAAGTGATGAGAGGCTTGCTTTTGTACCGAGCAACGACCGCCTTGGGAACAGAGAAGTTAATAAAAAACTATCCCAGTGTGAAACCCTTAGAGCCCTTTTCCTTTCGGGTGGAAACACACATTATCATTTAGCATGTGAGCTAACTGTTAAAACGTTTTGGTGAAACAGCGTTTGAGTGAATTAACGTGACGCGACAGCAAAGCTTACAAAGACGAAATAACTTGAAGAATAAAAAACGTGACGACAAAGTTGCAACAGAGCAGTTTTTAAACATTGCATCGAGTTATTACTGCAGAGAAAGCCACCGGGTGGTACAGGCGAACCATAAAGCTGTAGTTGTGTGTGTAGTAGTCTCAGTTTTTACCTTTTCTTTTGTGGAGAGCTTGACAGCTCAGCGAGTGGCAGCCATGATGGTTTCATACGGGGATTACAGTCTCTGAGCTGCTTTAGCCTTTAGCCTTTAGCCTGGTGCCTCCAACAGAGAGCCGTCCTGTCCCGGGCCTGCAGCTGCACACAAACACCAAGGCTGTTTCAATGCAAACACTGCGCTCAGTGCAGGAATGGAGAGTTCATTCTGTCTGCATGCTGTAAAACGACGCCCAGAATGGTGTGAAATAGCGTTTCAGATGAGCATTAATAAACCTCTTTGCGCATTAAAGCTCGTCTGCACCAATACTGACAAAAACTGGGAGCTACATCCGTCAAATGCATTGTTTTAAGTAAAAAGTGCACCCACAAGCACCATGCTGGATATTCAGAGTGCAAGGAAGGCTGAAATATTGTGCCACAGTTTTACAAATAACCCCCCAGATATCAGGACTGTGTGCCCACTTCAACACAGGTGAACTATGAAAATAACGAAAAAAAGTATTTTGGTGGTAAATAACCTTTATCTCACCAACATATTTAACATATAAGGATTACTGGGGACCCCTCAAGTATATAATACTGTAACCATCATAGCAAAATGTTAATTTATTGATCTAAAAGCATTATAAGTTATGTAATTAATGTAATCTAAAAGCAGATTTTTATTATTTTAGGTAAGCTACAGTTACATTTGCAGATTGGGTAAAAATGAAAATAGAGCACATGAGAAAATCTGTGTGAGTGCCCTTACCCCCCCTGATAGTGTGTTATACTTTAAATCGGGACCCAGGGCACAAATGAACTCAAACACGAACTCAATAAATAATTACATCTGTTAAAACTGTATAAGTGGAATTGGGTGCTTGTGACAGGGGTTCCCCCAGGAACACATTTGTATTTTTAAAAAGCACAAATTAAAGGAAATTAAAATCAGTGATAGGACTTTATGAGAAACAAATGAATTGACAAAGTCATGAAAATCTTGAATGATAGAATAAAGCAGCTGTGAGATATGACAAAAAAGTATACATGAGGTCTTGTGGGTATCTCAGGGTTAAAGGCTCCTGTGCATTAAACCATTAAAATGAACTGCAATGTGTAAATGTGCAGAACAATCAACAGACAACTCATATCTAATCAGTGTATTATTCATATTGTCTAGAGATTAAACAAAAAGTTGTATTATGCAATCATTCTTAAATATTGTGACAATGAACAGATAAACTTGAATAGGTTCAACAAGGGAGCAAGAAGAATATAATCACATACAAACTGAGTGATTTTAAAATGAAAAATATATTTTCAATTGAGTAATTTTTCTCTCTTTGTGCTCAGTTTGGGGGGGTCCGCTGGTTTGTGCTTATTCAGCTACGCACCTTGTTGTTATTCCAACAGAGGTGCGGTAGATAATGCAGTGGCCATTATTAATTTGCAGAACACTTAGGGAGTGAGGCTGTGGGTTACTTCTGGTAGAAGCTCGGTACCCTTTGGGTCTGGCCAGCAGTTCACAAATCACATTAACACACAATGAAGGGATATTCCCCACAGTTCAATAACAGCCCACTGGGCCTCAGTTCAGTAAATGTGGGACACTTTATTGCGAGACTGCGGATTAATTTACACTAGTGACCTTTTAGTGATCTTTAATGAGACTCTTGAGGATGAATTTGTAAAGAATATAGATATATATTTAGATATTTATAAACTTACATAACTGTTGTTTTAGAGACATGTAGCAAGTAATTTTAATATGTAGTTATATAATAATAATAATTATATTTGTTTTTACGGATTTTTATGTGTTGAACCAACTTACTATTTCTACTTTACTGCTTACACTGGCCTTACGCTTTGACATTAACTTTCTAATTACTGCACATACACTCATTAAATCTTATGTGACTCAGTCTATATGGGCATGCAGAGTGACCTTTGTGCTGCCAGCGATTTGGAACAGAGCCCTTCCTAAACTCAGATAAGGTAAAGATGAGCATTTGTGTTAGCAAGGAATGTCTGAAGTTCAGCAAAAAAAACAAGAAATCAATGGTTCAGATTTAGAAACCAGGTGAGTCATTCAAGACCTCTGGCGACACTAAACATATTTCAGATGTGAATAGCCGCCAAACAGGATCTTATTTCTGCAAACACTGAGCATGCACACTGCCAGTGAAATATCAATAACTGACGCTTACATCCCCTACTTTGGTGTTTCTTTGTCTGGCTGTTTGGAGAAAGAGCAGCGGTGGGTTGTTCACAGGTCAATGGCTGTCAGCTGCCCTCCACCGAGGCCCTGCATGACACCAGGAGGAAGAAAGGACAGCCACCAGCTCCCTCCACCTAGGACACCATTTGTTTCCTCTGGGAGACAGTTGCAGTCCTTTAAGAACAAGACTACCCACCACCCTCAACAGCTTCTATCACAGAGGAGCTAGTATTACCAATCCTCTTAAAGACTCACCCCCCGCATCGCACCCGTAATCTCTGGACTGCTCTTTTATTATTTAAGAACAAAATGGAACCACTATGACGTCTTCTCCCCCCAGAACATGTAAAGAAATACAATGAATGTAACTTCCAGCACAGTATAGCTGCTGAAATAATGATGATATTTGATTAGCAGATAACACATTTTAGATTCCAAAGTTACGTATTCAATTAATTATTTATGCCAGTTGTTTACAGGAGGAAATTTGTGAATAATCTGTTAGAAGATACATTTCCTGCCAATAAATTACTGACTAGGACACTTTTATATCATACTGGCTCCATTAATACACCTTTTGAAGGTGGACACACTAGTTTTACCTTCTATATATCTTTACTTACTTACTTATCTGTACTGTCGGCTCATCCCACTATAGCCCCAGCCAAACTCTCCAGTGCTGCCTGAATAGCCATTCGTGATGAGGTCTTTGATGTTATATACAATCATCATGGTTTAACAAGGAGGTGAGAGAAAATAAACAACATATTCTGTGAGAACCGCCAACACCAGTTCTCAGCCATTGACTCTGGTTCCGTCTGGAAGGGGCTCACACAGATACAGACACCAACTACAAACCTAAAGCCTCCCCCCTGCCCGCCTGCCCGCCCACCTCCATTAACACCTGGCCAAAGAACTGAATGACTTCTGCTTTCGTTTTGAAAGACAAAGGGGACAGTCCTGACGCCATCCCCTTGACATTCCAGCTCCAGCTCATCAGCTACCACTTCCTCCAGCTCAGCAGGGTTCCTGCAACCTCTCCATAACTGCCCACCTCAGCTGCCCCGTCCAGAAGAACCCCCACACACACACACAAAAGCAGCTGGGCCATATAGTGCATTAGATTAATTCCTTTGCTACTGAAAGACAGCGAAGCCATAGTAACATCGATGTTGCTTTAACCTATTTGGGTCAGATTGACTTGTGCTGTGGTGCTGGGGCAAACTGACCCATTTTGTAATTTGTACCACAGAAATAAACTACCAGACTGACCCTGGGCATATAGAGGAAGAGGATAACAGATGTAAGTATAGCAAATTATAGCAAATCTGCCAAAAACAAAATGTGATTTCACTTCTTATAACCCTATAGCTCTACATGGCTCTCACAAGTGCACCCAGACACATATGCATGCTTACACTAAAGCAACAGATGGGTTTCTCTGAATGTGATATATACTGTAGTAAATGATCAAAACAAAAATCTACTGCCTAACACATAAAAACTTTGTCTATTATTTAAAACTCCAGATATTTATTAGAGTGGCTTTATTTACGTTCAAATAAGATATTAATTTCATTTCAAGTGTTATTTAGCTTTGGGTAAATGTCTGTGACTGTACTGTGACTTGAAATTAAATGAAAGAGAATGTTAGATGGACAGATTTTATTTCCACGTAGCTTCAAAAGCCCCAAATCAAGTTGACATAGCATATTTTAAAAAAGTAAACTGCAGTGTCAGAATGCTGTTTCTTCTTTTGACCTGTTTCCATAAAATATATCATGAATGGAAATTCTAGGGAGGCCATGTGGGAGTAAACCTGATGAATTGTAAGTAAATGTGAAAGTGACAAATCATTTGCCATTTCTAACATCAGTATATCAGTTTTGCTTTGTGGTGCCAGTTCTTATTTATCTCGAAATCTATTCAGTAAGATTCTCTGGAAATAACTCGGGCCTGTATGCAGACATGTTTTTCTCCACTTTGGCTGCTTTTCATGCATTAAATTGAACTAATATTGGATATTATTGAATCAATAATAATCTGTTCATTATTATTTCATGTTTTCCATTTTATATAGAGTCATAATTCCCTAACATTGGGTATGGGTTCATCAGGCCAGTGATTGGATGTTGGCAGTTACTATACTTACTTGTAATTGGCTGCGTCCTGTGTGCACTAAAAGCCAATGAAGGTGATGCTTTCAAGTGCTAATCGGAAACTTTTTTCCTCACCTCAGTAGAAATTCGGACTTAATATTTCTGGTAAAAATTTAATTCTACCAAAACTTAAAAGGTTATTTCAACAATGAATCAACTGTGTATGAATGCGTTTGTACTTCAGTGGAATAGACAAGATCAGAACATAATAAGATGTGATAAATGATGTAGGGTTGTTGCAAAAAAAAAGTGTTTTTCTCCCACTTTTGTGATTTTCACCAGTTATTTCACAACCTTTGCGGCTTTCACGTCTTCATTTCCGTCGACTGTTCACGCTCTCCCAGCTTTGACGCTGGTGTTTCCGGTAGCACGTGAAGGCAGCAGTAGCGTTTGCTGAACTCGTGCTGAGCCCGAAAATCCTCACTGACTACAACAATGAGTGTGAGCGTGTCCGGCTAGTTTGAATTGAAGTTTACTTCAGTGAAACTGCCCCTAATTTCCACTACATGTGCTCATTGGGTGAGTGTCCACTTTCTGAACCGTGAACACAAACTTTTTTATTTCCTAGTTTAGTTCAAATACCCTGAACGACCCACTTACACATACACATACACATACAGCGGGTTTCTAAGTGTCAGTGTGCATCATCGGATACTGTGTCCCCCACTTTCAGCACAAAGTATGAGTTGATTGATTGGCCTTTCACGAGTTTTTGTGCCTTTCAGAGGTTTCAGTGTGTTAAATGGAGCTAGAGGACCAATGGTGGAAAGGACAACTGGCTGCAGACATCTACCAGGCGCTACGGTACAAAGTGAGTGCGACATAAGGTTTGTGACGCCTGCAAAAACAGACAGGAACATCCATGGAAATATGTTGGTTATTAGTGTTTCTAACTGTGCCATGCTTCACTTTTATGCAGAACATCCTCTATTTGTTTAATGCTTTTATTTTTGTATTCACATTTGCCATCCCCTGTTTCCTAAAGTCCTCAAATGTCTCGTTTTTGTCCACAATCCAAAGATATTCAGAGGACAAAAGAAACCAGAAAATATTCACATTTGGGAAACTAAAATCAAAGAATATGGACATTTTTCTTAAAAAAAAATCTAATCAATTAATGTAATAGTTGACGATCAATTGAATAGTTGACAACTAATCGACTAATTGCTGCAGCACTACATTGGATATGTGTTTTTGCATGTGACACCAATTAAACCTATTAAAAATCTGATGATCTGTTGGTCATCTTTATTATTTATTAGATTTTTTTTTTTAATGAATTGAGCCCATGATATGTAATGAGAAAGTAAGATATTTTGCAGTTAGTCTTTGCTCTCTCTGGTGGAGACACTGTTCCTCAATTATGTCAAACACATTTTGGTATTTCTGCACTGCAGTATCTTATTTACCAGCCGATATCAGCATATCTGTGATCAGTTTATAACTTCCCCAACCAACCGCTCTGAGATCTCAAACACAACATGTGGTCTAACAGGAGCTCAAGTTGCCCTCCTACAAAGGCCAGTCCCCTCAGCTCAACTTGAGGCGATACTTTGCAGACCTCATAGCCATCGTCAGCAACCGCTTCAGGCTGTGTCCTGCAGCCAGACACCTGGCCGTCTACCTGCTGGACCTCTTCATGGACCGCTATGATGTCACGGTGCAGCAGCTTCACATGGTCTCTCTCTCGTGTCTCCTTTTGGCCAGTAAGTGTTAAACCAACCTCTCACTCTCAACACGTGACCAATTTTGGCCTCTGCACGGTGTGATGGTGTGATGTTTTGCTCCTCGTTGCAGGTAAATTTGAGGAAAGGGAGGACCGGGTGCCAAAGCTGGAGACACTGAACAGCCTGGGCTGCATGAGCTCCATGAACCTGGTCCTGACCAAACAGGGTTTACTTCACATGGAGCTGCTCCTGCTGGAGACCTTCCAGTGGAACCTGTACCTCCCTACAGCCGCTCATTTCATTGAATACTACCTGTCTATTGCCGTCAACGAGGGAGACCTCCATGATGGCTGGCCTATGACCTGCCTGGATAAGACCAAACTATACATGGCCAAGTATGCTGATTACTTCCTGGAGGTTTCCTTGCAAGGTAAGTTGCATTTCATAAGGTATCTGGACCTTTTAGTCCAACAGATGGGCCTCAGTTCCCAAAATTGAAGAATATACACAAACAACATGGGTTTAACCACTCGTATCTCCCTGCATACTGTGAGGAATTATTTTAGCTTTAGGTATAGATTACCAAAGCAGACTAAAGTTACTGCACCTTTTTGTCTATTTTCTAGTAGTCTGATTGTTTTCACACGTGTGTATGCATAACAGTATCTTATAGTTTTTCGCTTTAGTTTTTTGATGCCGTTTTCTTTCCTCCCTCAGATCATGTGTTTTTGTGTTTTGCACCCTCACTGGTGGCTGCGGCGTGTGCGGCCACCTCCCGCCTCATCCTCCACCTGTCCCCGACATGGCCGCCCCGACTGCAGCGTCTGACAGGCTACACATGGGAGAACCTGGTCCCATGTGCCGAGAAACTACTCATGTGTGTATTTGTCTATAGCTCTGATGGCGCTGACTTGCGTACGTGCTCGTGACAGTTAATAAAAATGACTATAGTCGCCAAGGAACACATCTTGGTGACAGTGATTCAGATGGATACTGACAACTCAACTCACGCACGCTGACACGCATTACAAGCAGGCAGTAGCTTATACATTTCAGGCTACACATTCAACTAGACACGCTAATCAACAACTCTTTGTTCGTTTTTTTTTTTTCTAGTGCACATGACAGTGACGTTAAAGAGGCCAACAAGCTGAAGTGCCAGCAGCCTGGTCAGCAGCAGCAGCAGCAGGGCCAGTCGATGTACCACGGTTCAGGCCAGACAGCCACTGTGGCCCAGTACCTGCACCGGCCCAGCATGCCGTATCCCCAGCAGGCTCCGCAGCCCGGCCTGGCCTCTAACCACAGGCCTGCCTCCTACCTCAGCCACTCCACCACCAACCTGCAGGCTCCTAATGGCCCCCAGCATGGCAACACCCAGGCCATAACTACCTCACTGGATCCAAAGTCTAATATTCCCAACAGGGCTTACCAAGTCAGCATGCACTACACCTGTGCTGCTCCGTGCTTTGACAGATGATGGATTTTCAGGATTTTGTCTTTTTTTGGGCAGTAAGAGATAAGAGATGTGATCTGTTTCTCTTGAACATAACAAAATACACTGAAAAAAAGAGTGTTTTTAATTTAAAGAGACTTGATGAGATTAATACAGCACTTTGACAATAAGGTGTACGTAATGTGCAATATGCATACTCTGCTGTAATTTTCTGTGGAGAGCCTGCATTAGGAATTTTTTGTTTTGTTTGAGATATCAAGTATGAATGTTGCTGTGAGGTGGCTAGAAGCAGAGCTTGCACCTCTGTACCCACTAGTGTTACTGTATAGTTTAGCTGCAGACCAAAAGTCTTGTATTTATTTGAGCCAGATTACCTCCGAAGTATTGAACGTACAAATACCTCGTGCCTGTAGCCTTTATGACTGTTTCGATGCTAAGTTAAGGGCGCTTACAAAAAGGGACTTTGGTTGAGATAAGAGAGCACAGTTTGTGTTAGTGTTCTGTACCTCGAATTCTTTTTTTTCTTTTTTTTTTGCTTTTTGATTTGTGTCATTGGTAAAACTAAAAGAATATACTCCTCTAGATGTCAGTTTCTTTGCAGAGAAAATTGTTGCTCTTTGTACACAGAGGATTTCAGTCAGTGCTGTGCACTTCTACAATGATAATTTTAAATAAAATACAAATCTGTGTTGAACTTAGATTTTTGTCCTGTTTTCTGTCTTTTTATCTTGCCTGAAAATGATTGTCCTATGAGTTTAAAATGGTGTCATAAAGTTGAAAAATAGAAATACAAAGATGTGATTGAGTTCAACCTTGAGTTATCAGTTATTTTTGCTGACTGGGAGAAAACTGGATGTGCAGCAGTAACCAAACGTCATCTTTTAGGTTTCTCAATTGTGCACTGCATTGTGAAAGACCAACAATGACAGCATGTGGTTGGTTTTTGGGTGAATTTGGCTTCTCATTTACAATCTGAGGGAAAAGTAACAAAATAAGCCAGCCTGAGTCTTATTGAAATATTACCAAGAACACAGGAGAGGTTTTGACACAGAAGACACAAGGCTTCCCCAGTGCACTGACAGTGAACCCAGGAGCGACATAGACGTTTGTCATATTTTGGATTTGACTGACATATTTGCTCTGAGCAGCACCTGTTCTTTCCTTCCCAGACAAAAATATATCCATCTTGTAATTTACATGTTGCACAGTTCGAGAACTACTGCTGAAGACAACAAGCTACAAACTCCTTCTGCAATCTCTGGTGTAAACCCGGTTCAACCCAATAACAAATAACTTACCATACTCTCAGGGGCCACTTTATTAGGTACACCTGTACAATCTAATACAATCCAATATCCAATATAACTGTTAAAGCCATAAAATCTACTTTTATGATGCTTGTAATGTAAATGTTCTTTTTGCACTGCCGCAGAAACATTAATTCAATTATAAGTTGTAGCATCAATGTCATAGTAATAGTGTTGTACTGGACTGCATTATATTAAGAGGTGTTTCCCCTCATTTATGTAAATAAAAGCACAAGAAAAATAGTAACTTTAGTATTAAATTGTTAAATGTACACATTCCCAACAATGCCACCAAAAACTGAGCCTAATGAAGCTTGTAGATGTTATGGCAGAGTTGTTGTACTGGATTGCATTAGATTGCACAGGTGTACCTAATGAAGTGGGCGGTGAGTGTATGTCTAGCAGGCAGTTTCTGTTTGCTTGTCAGAAGATTGGAAAAATCCCTGTCAAATGCTGCTGGTGTTTTTGTATAGCTGTCACTTCGGCTGTATTAAAATACATTTTATGAGGTCCTCGAACCAGCAGCAAGAGCAGCCGCCTAATAAAAAAAAAAGAAAGTAATTTCCAGTTCAGAATAGTGAAAGTAAGGGTGCCCTTGGGGTTAAGGTGCCTTTATTACATGTCATTCCCTATCAACTCTGCCCTCATTTTCTGTTATCTTTCTACGAGTGGCTATCTAATAAAGGCACAAAATGCCCAGAACAGTGAAAGCAATGCATCGTAAATGACAACTAGGAGGGAAAAGAGCAGAAATGGTGTCTGTGTGCTCCACCAGAAGCCTCCAGAACAGCTCCAGTGCTCCTTGTTACAGATTCTACAAGTCTGTGGTTAATGATGGTGGAGCACTGTCTAATACCAGGGCAACAGAATCTCTTGTTCGTGCTCTTAGCTGTTTACATACATTTCAAACTCATTAAACTATTCATTGACCCTCTTGAAACTGTATTAAAGAATCTGCAATCATTATGTTTCTGCACTCATTTATTCAGGTTTTCCATTGAACTGTCTCTGTTCCTTGCAATTTGTCACAATAACAGTTACTCTTTGTTGAGTGTAAATCGGTTCAGTGCTTTCTGGGATCTAAAAACATTTCATATTGTTTGTTCTCTATACATTCCTTGCAGTATGTGATTCACACAGTATATACTGCCATTGAGAGCAGTGACAAGGCAATCCACAGTCTGCAGAGGGCAGTATGTGCCACGTTTCTGTTCATGCTTTTCATCTCAGTGACTTCACTGCTCTTTTATTTTCTTGCATGTGGGCTGTCTCTTCTAAAGTTTTCATCTCTATGCCAGCAGTAAATTTGTCTTTGGCTGCTAATGTGTTCAGGATCCAGCCACTTTAAAATCCCCCAAATAAGCCATTGCTCTCTTGTGATGAAAGTTGTTGAACAGAAAGGTTATATTCATTGTCATTTAATCCAATATTCCACCCCATCTCACACTAAGTTGGCACATCGGATCATTTAACAGTTGAAAAGAAATAAGCTAAATATTTACTCTAGTATATTAACATTGTGTACCCGAGAGGTGAACCACATCCCCCCACTCTCCTGGACATCAGAGGAAAAGGACACACTTAAAATCAGACACAAAGACAGTCTCTTCTTTACATAACATCCAAATGTGTTTCTTTTCCACTCCAACATTTTGTTTATTCAAGTCTGGAATCATTGCTATACTTTTAAGGAAACCCCAAGGGGTCTCAAATTAAAATCAGTTCCTGTTATAAAACAATGTGGTCAGATCTGATAGAAATATTCCTACATGTCACGATGAGGCAGGCTTACTAAAATAGCATTTCCACTCTGGGGTTACACACCACGGAGCTTCCTGTGGAGGAGGAAGCAGACTGATGAACCTGGTGGTGAGGACCAAAGAGAGAGAAGACTCTCTTTAGGCTTCACTTCCCCCTCCCAAACACTGCTGTTTACTTACTGTGGATATCAGTTCAGTAGCCAAACCAGTAGGTGGATTTATGAAGCAATCCAGGAACCATCTATTTGTCCTCCAGTGTCCGGGTACAGGCGTGTCAGTAGATACTAAGTTGTACACCTTTCAAAATACATACTGACTCAGTGTAAATCCTTTTGACAGTGTTTGACGTCAAAGGCGTTCAGTGTGTACTCATAGTGATGCAGGAAAACCACAATGACAAAGGTAACCTCATCCCACCAGACAGCATGAGTTCTGCTCTTCTCAGTAAGACTAGAAACCAGAAAACTCAATACCATATGAATATTTATATATATATATAAAAGAGAAGAAGACAAGAAAAAAACAGTCAAAGAAATAAGTTAAATGACTTTCACATACTTTTCTGTGGTTACTAAAATATTGTGTCTAAAAAACCAAGCCGCCCACCCACCCATCTGTTACTCCATGCACAGTAAAGCAAGCACTAACAAGCAAATGGTATTTTCCATATTCAGAATGCACATTTATGCATATAATAATAAGTGTGACGTAATCCTTTTATCATATAATTAGAGTGACCTCAAAAGAACTCGGGTGGTTTGTCTCGATGCCACTGATCAGCCCATAGCACAGCAGGCCTCTTGAGTATGGATTTTCCTAAGCAACAAAAGCAACAGTAAACCTGTCCCTTGCAGTTAAACACCCAGTCTATCAATAAAAATAGAAAAAGAAATGCTGGTAATATAATTGGTCACACTGAGAGGAGCTTGTATTTTTTCCAAACTCCACGAATTTTCTCTTGATGACAGCAGTAATTTCCCCTCTAAATTCAGCATCTTAGAAACAGTGACCTTGGAATAAGGTTCTATCTGCAGTCTGAGTGCTTTTGAGTGCTTCAAAGTTTTTACAACCCAGATAGAAAAACTAATATACAGCAAACTTCTAAATAAAAGCACCCTAAAGGCACTCTAAATCACATTCTATCACATTTTTAAATGGGGTTTTTAAAATAGCTGTTTTGCAGTCAGAACTCTCTAATACTTTTTCACTTGGACATTTGAGGCTTTAACTGCTTATAGGCAGATACTTAGAAGAAGTCTAGAAAAGTTAACAGTTCAGTCTTATTTTGTTTACACAGCTTAAACGGTCCAGTGTGTAACATTTAGTAGGATCTATTGGCAAAAATGGAATATGATATTCAGAGGTATGTTTTAATTAGCGTATAATCACCTGAAAATAAGAACTGGTGAGTTTTTGTTACCTTCGAATGAGACGTATTTATCTACAGACGCCATGGGTTGCCTTCCATTGAATATGTTGAGCCTTTCGCATTTTTTGCGTTTCTCCTACACACTTCACAGCCTGTTCTCAACCCCAGGTCGTCAAATACAGATGCAAGCAGTGTTCAGTTAGTTGCAATCTACAACTTTACCGCTAGATGCCACTAAATCCTACACACTTGCCATTTAAACTGACAATACAATTCATTAAGTTTTACTGTAATTCAATTCAAAACAACGCCACAAATTAAAGATATGTTTCTCTCTGTATTTCTGCTGCCTCCACTGCTTATTTTACATTCTTTTAATCACTGTCTGAGTCTCAGCTTTGGATGTAATCCCTGTCATCAGTTTATGTCAGCTGAAGTACACAAGGTGCAAGCTAAACAGCACAAACCAAGTTAAGAGCATTAACATAAGATTACTAAAATACTGCCAGATTTCGCACAATATCATGATCTTTTCAACTCATTTAGCCCCAGTCACAGAGCAGTGAGCTGACACAGTAAAGAAGCAAAACTTGATTAGTCTTTCTGTGTACATTTGAACACTTTTTGCAGCACTTTGCAGGTAGAACCTTTATTTTTTTCAAATGTAGGGTCAATAACAGATTAAAGGCGAGTAACATTTAGGAGAGTACTGAAATTGAATAAAGTATTCATAGGTATGTTGTATATTCATATGAATATATGAATTGTTATGTTTTGGTTATCTTACAATGAGCCGTTTTTACCAACAGACGCAGCTGGTCGCCTTCCAGCATGTTGAACCACCATGTTTCTACAGTAGTCCAGAAGGGGAAAAAAACACTGGCTCTAGATAGGGATGTTCGTGTTTTTGACCGTTTCACCCCCAGCGTAGTTTCTTCTATGCACTTGAAAGGGGAGGGTGAAGCGACAGAGTTGCAATCTCTAACTACACCGCTATGCCACTTAATCCCACACACTGGTCCTTTAACTAAACTAAAAATAAACTACCACAAAACGTTAATAACTTGTTAAAGAACCTTTCTGTGAACCTTGTAATTCTACGTCTTAAAATGCATATTATTATGAGCAGGTCAGTGTTCACCACCTCCCTCTGCAGTGTAATCAAGTGTTGTGACAGCTGACAACAGACTGCTGAAGACTCATATTATCTTTGGCTGAACTTTTGAATGCAGTTTTGCTCACAATGGGGATTTTTGATGA